CTCTGTCTTATCTTGACTCTGTCTCACCTTGTCTATCTCTATTTCCTGTATTGTTTCTAAGTTTCTTTCAATTCTGACATCATTACAAACTCTGTACATATATTACAATTCTCTCAACATTCACAAGTTAACTCCAGACCTTGCTCTACACTTGGTCCCAAGACCCATCACTCTTAATTTATCCCCCATCAAACTCTGGCTCCATCCCCATCACTCACAAAGCCTCCACTTGCCCCACTGCCTATACATTTGCTTATGGATCTGTGCCTAATGCTCCTCTAGATCCAAACTTTATAATACTTAGTACTAGACTTCCTCAGACCACCCCAGACTTGCTTGGACCACTTCCTGTCACTTATCCTTGCAAGTAACTGAAGTCCAGACCACCCCAAAATGCCAGGTTATAAGTGCAGGACATTGCATCTGCCTAGTAAGGACTCACTCAGCTAAGCTGAGCCTACCTGGTCAGTGGAACCTGATATAATATCAAGACTCCCCCTTACTCTGTTCTCAATGTCTGCATACAACCCTGTATTCAACTCCACCGGCTACTCAACTGACATCTATAGTAGGCCAGTGCCCAAAAATTACTGCCCCATTCTATCCAGGCCCACTCACAGATCAGTATGTTCCTTATCACTGGACCCCTGATTCAAACCAGGCTTCTATGTCCCCTCCATCAGTCAGGGAATACCACCAGGCTGGCACCACCCCCTGACATTACTTGCTGATGGGGCCTACTCCCATATGTACTCCAGAAGATTCTCTGGGGCACCCCCAGCCATGCCCAACTCCACCTACCTCCCCCCAGCACACTACTATGCCTATCCAGTCCCTGCTGTAGTCCCAGCTCCTCTGGAGCAACCAGATAATTATTCTCCTTTTCAACTCCCATTCTCCACTCAAGTTCCCCCCTCCTCTAGACAACAACAAGTTGAAGCCTATGTTTAGCAATGCAACAAATTCCTCCACTCCCTCCACCTCTCTCTAACAGAGTTTGCATGATGTGCTCATGCTCTCCTTGTCAGCTTTGGTTACCACAACACCCCAGCAACTCCAGAAGTCTGGGCAGACTGACTCCTTGACTTCCACAAAAAATGTTACCAGCAGGGCACCCTCCCCAAAACTACTCAAGGCACTCTGGGAATCAATGCCAACATGAAACAAGCTCTGTGCCCTGATTAACAAAATTCACACCAGCCAAAAATTATTGCCACTGGCACCCTTCTCCAAAAACATGACCTCTATGCACTTGATTTGACCAACTACCATGCACTCACAGTACATACACCTCCTGACCTCAAATCCTGGCACTTCAGAATAGACCATGCCAATTACTAATCTATTATGCAAATAGCTTGTGCAGGCATGATCAAAGGTATCCCCTCATTCTTTTGCTTCAAACCTCCAAAATGTGAGCAATGCATCCTGGGGAAGCAGACCAGGACACCAGTTACCAAAAAGGAGGGAGGAGGGGAAAGGACATAGGGCAATGAGGAGACTGGAACAAGTCTGGTTGGATTTGATGGGGACAAGCAGCTATTACATCTTGTACTGGGAATAATTATGTCATGAATATTATCAATGATTACACCAATAAACCATGGTCTATTCCATTAAAAGCAGAAAATAAATGTTTAAGCAAGCTCAAGGCATGGATACTTGCAAGATAAAATGAAACTGGGTTGTGCCTAAAGATATTGCAGATGGGGTGTGATGGGGAGTTCAATGGGGAAGAACATAAAAAATAGTATAAGAAAAGAGGCATCATTCTAGAAGTTGGAGCCCTATACACATTGGCACACATAGGCCAAGTGGAACACATGCACTGAATACTTGGTGGAAAGGCCTGTTCAATGAGACTGACAGCAAAATGCCCACCTTACCTATGGGACAAATTCTATCTAACAGCAGCTCACCTCCATGGAAAAACTAAAACATTGGCAGTCCACAATATAACCCCAGATAAATTATGGTATGGAAAGTGACCAAACTACTCATACATTCAGGAAATTGGCTGTCAAGTCTTTGTTCTCATCCAAAATAAACATAATACAAAGATCTACAAATGGTCCATAGAATGTGTCTTCATTGGCTACAATACAAACTCTCAAACAAACCTATCAATGTTATGACCAGTCCACAAAGAAATTCTACAGTTCTTACCATGTATGCTTTATTGAGAGCCACAATAATCAGTCAACTGACACACTCAGCTAACCACCACTGGACTCAGATGAGCCCAAACTCAATTAATTTCTGGCTGGACATGCAAACAATTGCCAAAAATGCCACCAACATGCCCATTAGACCATCACAGAACAATGATGAAGAGGTACCAGTCATTCCCAGACCTACACTTGAGATACCACCTGCAGTACAGCCAGATGAAGCATCTGCAGTGAACAAACTCATCCAACAACCCCAAATTCTTGATCTGCAAGGATAACAGTGCCAACCAAGAAAGCATGTCAAGGGGAAAGAGGGGAAACCTGAACAGAGAAGGCAATATAGGAATCCAAGGAGGCAGCAGAGTGCATAAGAAAGGAAAGAGCAGAACAATGCAGCCAAGCAACTGGGGGAGGTACAGCATGATGACATCAAGGACACACAGCCCAATCTTGATCAGTGGTGCTTAATGCAATTGAGGACCTACTGGACCTGGACCCTGAAGCTGACCTCAAAATGCCAAGGATAGGGGATAGGTCTGAAAATTTTACCTTGGTGGTCTTGTGAGGCACTCGGCTTGTTGTGAGGAAGGGGCACATTGATGAGGTTGGTGCTGGGAGTGGGGTGTGCATAGACAGGTCACATTGGGGCAGAATGAAAAATTGACAAAGACAATTGTCATTGTAAAAAAAGTTCAAGGCTGTAGCATGCAGCCTCACTCGGACCTAGCCAGACAAGTCAACAGTACCTTCATTGCATAACATACTAGATCCTAGTAGACATGAATGTCATCACTTCTCGTTCGTTCCTTTTCTACTCGTCGTGAGTTCGCAAGAGACCTTCACCATGATCATCAACGCAGAACCCAATGAACTCTTTGCTGGCTCTTGTTGGGAATACATATCTGTTAGTATTAGGAATACAACATCCACATATTGAAAACACCCTGAAATGAGAACAAGTTTAGATGCATCCAAGGCTGATAACAAACTATTACTGATGACTTGTATTGTCTGACATCTTATGGACAGAAACATCTCTATTCCTTTGTGTTTCAAATGGCCACACATCCAAACTAAAGTCAATCGATGGGCTGCTGAGGGTCACCCACCAAAGATCTGCTGGTGCCAGGAACACTCTCGCAAAGGTTGAATGTAACCCATAGATAGTCAGGTTGCTTCCCTGTGGAATTTCTTTTTTCTTCAATTTGCTGTGGTTATGTTGGCACGACACAGGGGTTACTATTACATCCTTCTATAATTCCCTGTCTTGGTCCTCGCCCCCCGCCTCGGCCTCCCTCTCCCTCCTCAACCTCCCCTTCCCCCTCGCCTTCTCCACAGCAGCCCACATTTTCCTCGCCTGGCTCATCACATCCTCCTCTCCCTCCGACGCGGTATCGCGGTACGCCGCCTCGAAGCGCGAGACGTGTGTAGCGAACGACGATGATGCGGGAGAAGCAAGGACGTCGCGCACACCAGCGAGGAGCGCATCGAGCATGGCGAGGTTATGGGAGACGAGGAGGGCGTGTGCGGACATTTCGTGCGTGTGGAGGAGGTGGTGGATGTATGCGCGTGTGTACGGGGCGTTGGGAGGGTCGTTTGGCGGGAGGGGCGCGGAGGCGGGACCGTGGTTTATGCGTGAGGCGGGTGGGGTGGGTGAGCATGCGATGCAGGGACAGGAAGGAGAGGAGAGAGGATGAAAGTCGAGACGGTGGCGGGTGTCGTAGAGGTTGTGGCCGATGTTTTGTTGGGTGCTCGGCTGTGCCTCGGTCGGCACGGGAAAGACAAAGTCCAAAGCGACGCCGTATGAGGCTGCGTCGACTGCCCAGCGCGCATCGAGCACGTCGACGCCTACGTCCCGGATGAGGCGGAGCATATGGTGTGGGCTTGATGTGCCGTGTACGAAGCGGGGTTTGGTGGGGGGAAGTGGGAGGAGGGATGTTTGGAGGAGAGACGGGGGATGCAGAGAGACATCGAGAGTGTAGCCTGCGATGCCGGCGTCGTATGTGGGTAGATCGCCGACGGAGGGAGAGACGAGAGACGTGGAGAATGCAGAGCGGGCACGGGCGGTGCAGCCGGCGAGGGGGACGAGGATTGCCGCGGGAGAGCCGAGGAGAGCAGCGAGCCAGGCGAGGGAGCGCTCGATGCTTTTTGTGAGTCGTTTCTGGGAGAAGGGCGGAGATGTGTGCGGCGTGTCGGAAAGCGCAACGACGAGGTCGGGCGAGCATGCGGTGACGTGCGATGTCCATTCCTGCGCGGCCAGCTGTGGCGACGTTAGTGCGGCGGGAATGTCGACAGGCAGGGACGGACCTTGCGCACGCCGCGCAGACAGTATGCATTCAGATGGCTGTTCCCATTCGGCGGCATCGTGCGCGTGTCCGCCGGATCTCGCGCGCTCAGCGCCAGTATGTGCTTGTCGGGATCGAACCCCAGGAACCGATGCAGAGCGTGTGCGCCCCCGAGCACGGTTGGCACAGGCGGCGTTTGTTCGAGACTGCATGGATCTCAGTGAGTCGTCAGGCTGGACTGGGGCTTGCTTACAAGGACTCAAAGGGCACATGCACAAGCCCGATGGCGGGGCTGGCGCGGATGTGGCAGCGCGCGAGGTGTGGGACGCAGCCGCGCGACGTTGGCGTCAGCAGCGTGGGCGTGGCGAATGTGAGCACTGTGCCCGACGGTCGCGTCAACGTCAGCGTCCCTCTGCGTGGCCCAAACGGCGTCATGCTCACATCGTCCAGCGTGAACCGTACAGTCGCCCGCGCCATCGTTGCGGCGTAAGGAAAGAAAAAGTTGCGTCCAACGGGAAGAAAAAAAAACCACAGAAGCAAAACAAGTCCCAAGGGTGATTTGAACACCCGACCCCGCGATATTACATTAAACTGCAATCGCATGCTCTAACCACTGAGCTATTGAGACCGTTGCAATACGTCAGCCGACACTGGTCGTGTATCGTCTTCCTGTCCCTGCGGGCATCATTCAAGAGAATAGTTGATCACGATATCGTGATGGTTACAGCCTCCGAATAAGCCTTCTCCAACGGGTCGAATTCTGAGAATGCGGGCCTGCACTAGGGCCCTCCAAGAGATAGTAACACACGTTACTGACTCCTGGGTCCTGAAGGGTGTTGTTTACACAAGTTAATCACATTGAATGAGTTTTAGTATCAATAGCTTCTTGATCATCATACCCAGCAAAGCATGCACATCAAGATTCATCAATGGCCCCTTCAAGGGTTCAACATCAGTCCTCATGAGTCCTTCATTGGCTACAGTAGACTATTTCATAATACATGATGTGATATTACATGCGATTCGGGCCGGAACCATGATGGGACCCACTGTACAGAGCCATCAAATGCATATCGCATGGTCTTATGCAGCCCGGTGATGGTCAGGGTTTAGTCAGGGCAACCACGTATGCTAACGCCTCCTCGATCACAATATAGCTACAATTGGGAATAAGAACACAAATAATGGACTGAGTGTTCCGAATCCAAACACTTTGAGAGAATACCTTTGGCTATCCAGGCCCCTCCTCATCAAAAACCTCATGAGAAAACCCCTTGCCCTATGCTCATGCTCATAAACCCAGACTCCCATCCAACAAAGGATGCTCCTAAGTCCTCTGCCAAGCCAACCCAAAAGAATTCACTCTGCACAATTGGATGACTGCCTCCACCTACATTGATAAACATCCAACTCCGTCTCAAGATGATGTCCATGGACACCTTCAATCTAAGCCAGATGGAGCACTTGTTTTTTCCCAAGTCAGCTCTGTCAAGAAAACTCAAGAAAACATGGAGAGATGCAATGCAGGCCTGGGTTAATGACAATCCCACATGTTGTCACCAGGCCAGATGTCAAACAGGCACTAAGGCACTATTTCTCTGGGTCAGGCATATGGAGGAGAGGCAATGGAGAAGCGGAGGCATCTCGAAAAGGCATTTGAAGTGCCAGAAAAGGAGTGCATCACATGTGATGGCTGGATCGGAATATTGGTGCTGAGCTACAAGCAGTTCAGATGGAGCAGCAGCATGTGAAAAACATCACCAATGCATACAAAGAGAAAGAGAAAGAGAAAGACCAGTGACCAGTTTAATGCTATGTGAGTTCACTCTCCAATTTGATCAAGAAACTTTATTTGACATGAATAATCCAGAACACCACCCAATTGGGGCCTTGCAACAAACAAAGCAGACGAGTGGCAAGAAAAAAGGACAAGTTTTTTGGATTACGATCGCATTTGGGTGCAATGCAGATTAAAAGTGAAAAGCTTCCACCCTAATATATATCGGAAGGTCAAAGAAGCCTCAGTGCTTCAGCAATATGGCACCGCTATTATCATAACAACAAAAAAGCATGGTTGACTTGAGAATTATTCGAAGAGTACCTTTTCATTCATTATTTGCATCTGAAACCTAATTGGGATCTGTAGGTCAAGCAAAGCACTTGACATTCAGATGAAAAAGGAAAAACTGTCATAGCCTTCTTCTTATCGGCAACTTCTCAGGACACAATCTTGATTCCCAGCCACATAATATCCGAATTGAGTTCTTCGAGCTCAACATGACTCTATTTGTTCAGTCACTTGATGCAAGAATCATTTGGAGGCACATTACTGGCAGGCCTTTTGCCAGCAGGCTATTGAACTCCATTGACTATATAATGGGGCAGACTCTTCATCCCACGATTTTTCCATGTTGACTGCTTTGTTTCCTCCTCTATCCTCTTGGAACTAGCAGAATGGAGCCCATCTGTTCGGTCATTGAACTCCAAGTCTTGGACTGCAGCTGGGCACCAAGAGAACCATCCAAAGAGAGATTTACACTTTGAACAATGCTTCAAGACATGATCAAATGATGCAGAGCCTCATATTTGCAGCCCAAGACTTCTGGAGATATCCACACTTATCTACACCTATTCACACTGGGTAATGGGCCTCAGGCAAGCGAGGTGTTAATGAGATCTTCCCTACCAATTGTAACATTGGTGCTAAAGAAGCCAAATGGTAACTAGAGATACAAAAAATCAAAATCTCGTCGTAAAACTCTGCTATGTGGTGCAATAGGATATCCCACAATAGCTGCAAGTCTGCGCATAAGGAAATGACAATCAAAAACTTTAGCATAAAGAGCAAACCTGCAGGAAGTGTAGGATATCAGATAAAAGGGGGCCATTGACAGCCTCAGTGTTGTGCTGTTTGGATAATGGGAAGAGCAGCTTGTAACGTCAGGCTGTTAAGCAGTGATGTCACACGAGAGGTATAGTTCGGATCAGTAAGTTGACCAGAATAAACTCTGTTTCTTGTATAGTACTTTTGTTTGTATAGTAAACAACAAGTCGAGTCATAAAGAAAATTGTAAGTAGAATCGTAAGTAAATTTTCGAGAGCTGTGTCGGAGGAAGTAAAAGTACCGACAAAATAGTTTTCAAACGGCAGGCGTGAATGATCGCATCAATATTTCATCAGTGGCTGTGTGCCAGGTCAGGGCTCTCACCGCCACACAGCTGAGGCTACACCAAAATAAATAAACAATACTTGGTTTACCAGGAGTGATGGCCCCAGAGCCCAAATCAGCAGATCCTTCTTCTGCTTGATATCAACAAAAGATATGTAAGTGCAGTGATCAAGTACGCACCCTTTTCTCTTGCCGCCGCTTCTCAGAGTATATCATCACTAACATCAGAAATGTCTTTTCATCTGTTGAAAGGCTAGGTGAAATAGATAATATAGCCGGCTGTATATTGCTTGGGGAATACTGCTTATAAGGAGTCAGCATCGCAACGACATTATCTCGTGAGTTGGCGGGTACCACCTGATTTCCCAAATCATCAAGTAGAACAATAGATTTATAAGAAACGGCTTACAATCCATCTATGTTCTTTGTATCTGACAACATAGCTGTCATGAACTGGAGACCACCTCCATTCCCGAGTGCTAACTGAGGATCTGAATCAGGATATGGAAGAGACGGTTGGTGGTCTTACCGGCTGTAGAGTTTAGGTTTGTAGTTCAAAGTACACCATTTGCGTTTTACACCACCAATTTCGAATTCGTGGTGCTCCCAGTAGATAGCAGAGTGTGAAAAAAGGTCAAAATCGGTATGTGTAAGTATAGTCGTCTTGGGGAGGAGCAGAACGCCTCCGACAGTAGTACTGGTCTTGTATACTGTTGCTGAAGAAGCATCATTTGGACAAAGACTACTGTCAAGGATATCTTGATCAGAAAATGTAAAACTAGACAAGTCAGGCATGCTGGTGGAGGGAAAACTTGAGAGCGTAGGTATCTTGGAATTCAAGTCTCGACAAACCTGTGCTTTTAACTAACTAGGAAGAGGCGGTGCTACGGTGTAGTTGTGGGACAACATTCACGAATCTTTACACCTATACCCCAGTGGTAAACCAGCGCCTCCGGTATCCCTCCCAAAGTACCAAGTGGGACCGGATGGCCGCTAATATGTATCCAACGACTCCGCCCTTCTCGCCACTCGGCATCCACTCCGTACCGTACAACTAGGACATGGTGTCTTACATATACAGCAACCCCGCCGGGTCTCCTGGAATGTTCAGCAGCCGGATTCCGGAAGTAAATGGTTGTTTTGCGTTTCGTTCAACCCTCACGATGATTGTCAGTCGATTTATGAGTATTTTTATTTTTTTTGTATTTGAGAGGATAATACTGAATGTTGAGTATGGCCTGAGGGATTTGCAAGGCCCGGCTCGGTTTAAACGCCCAGGCTCACACGCGCCGGGGCTTTCCAAAGCTTTGAGCCGAGCCCTGAGCTCTCATCAAGGGCCGGCCCGGCTCGGCTCAGGCCCAAGCCCGAGCTTATAATAAAATGGGAATGATACTAAATATCCTCCATAATCAACATATCAACATTATAAGAGTGAAATCAACAAATAAATACATTATCTAGAGGTATGGTTGAAAGTTTTTGAAAAGTTTGTCGCACCCCTTGCAAGCAATGTCACGTGATATGTAGTCTGGGGTCAGGAAGCTCGGCACCGGAAATTTCACGCTATCACGTTAAGACCATTTTACAGACGTAGAAGTACTCACAAGCCCGGCCTTGCAAAATCACCAAGTTTATGGCCTAGGCCAAAGAATTGGTATTCTCATACATACAAACAAATATCCATAAATCCCCTCTACAGCTGCTGTGATATAGGATCCGTATGCCTAGCTTCGAACCTCCTTCTGTTTAGTATAAACCCAGAGATCAATTTCACAGTAAGCGCTCAGCTTCCCAGATGATTCATTCACGGTTACGTACCTTTTCCTCTAGCCGTCTTCGCTCGGAATATATCATCACCAACATCAAAAATGCTTTTTCAACTGCTGGGAGGCTAGGTGAGAGTGATAGGATGGCCGGTTCTAATTCCCTCAGGAAATGCTTCTTGTAGGGAGTCAGCGTAGCAACAACACTATCTCGGGAGTGAGTTGGTGCCGCCTGATCTCCCAAGTCATCAGGCTGGCATAAAGATATTTCAGACGTGGCTTACCGTCCATCTATGCTCTTTGTATTTGACGACGTAGCTGTTGTGAGCTGGAGACCACTGCCATTCTCGAGTGCTGATAGTTTGCCCAAGGGTGTCAATGAAGGCGACATCAGTGATTGAGTTATATAGGCTTACGAGCTGAATAGTTTAGGCTTGTAGTTCAAGGTATACCATTTGCGTCTTGAACCATCGATTTCAAATTCGTGGTGTTTCCAGTAGATAGTTGAAATTGGAAAATGAGGGCTCGAGTAGGAAATAATGGGTACAAGCGTGGTCGTCTTGGGAAGGCGCAATATACTGCCCACCGTGGTGCTAATCTTGAATAGCATCGAAGAAGAGTCGCTGGGTCGAAGATCACAGTTAAGGATGTCTTTGTCAGAGAATGTGGAACTAGACAAGCTAGTCATATCGGTGG